AAAGTGAATTTACTCTGTAAATCTTCACCCAAATCCTAAAAAAAAAAAAAAAAAATTGTGCATTTTCTGTATTTGCATTAACTAACTCATTCCTTCAGATCCACAGCACAATAACAATATATGAGCTGTAAGAGTAGATAGTTCAGAAAAATTAGTGGCTGGTTTATAATTAGGACAAGAGATGAGTTGCATAGGTATTGCACGCTGAGACACAAGACTCAGGGGCTTCCTGACTATTCCTCTGCCTTCCTGGGTAGTTCAGTGAGCTCCAGGAGGGATTTCGCATCTTTCCACCCAAAGCTGGATAATATCTGGGGGATTCCCAAAAAGGGACACTGATCCCCTTATCCCCTTTGTTACTCACCTGCTAATAATATGCCCCAGATGATGTACCTAATTGTGGTTTTATGTTTCTTATAAATAACACAAACTGCATCGTATTTCTTTTCGAGACACCTGTAACAACACAAAAACAAAATGGTTGACAGAAGCAAATATCAAAAACATGAAGTAAATGGCATGCTAAGACTGGGTTCAGTGGTTGGCTTTGGGAAGCAAACAAACCACACAAACTCATGAAATGTATGTCCTATAAAATAGCATTGGGAACTGTTAATTTCATCTTAGAATTAATTTTGCTATACCTCGAGTCAACACTTATTGAATGAGTGTGCCAAGCCCTGTGGGGTTATAGAGGCTCAGAAAATATGCTTCTGGTAAATGGAACAGGGTAGATGGATAACTAGCAAGAAGCTAAAATAAATTACTGGAGGAGTGATTCTAGTTGGATTCTAAGGGCCTCCATTATATTTAGCCAGTGGTTATTAAATTTTTATTTAAAAAATACAAATCTAACAAACTTGGTCATCCCTCCTGCCTCCATTAAATTCTACCAAGTAGATGCTTCCTTGTTCTTGATCACCATATTCTGATCTAAGGCTGAAAGATTTTATTGGATGCTTGAAATATAAACCAGGATTTTGTGGATTTGAGGGCCAACCAATGGGTTGTAACATGTCTTTTTCTGAAAATTCTGGAATTGTTGGCATGTACTTGCTTGCATCCAGGGCTTTGTTATCGGGCCAGTTGGTAACATGTGAGCAGTGTGTATATACTACCACATCTCCTGGGAAGGGTATTATTCACTAGGCCCCCAGCAGTGAGCTTGGAGAGGCCACAGGACTATTCTCACGATGACTGTCCTCTATCTCTCCTGAGATGCTCATGGTTCCCACCACCCCTGAAATGAACCAGGCTTCCCTGCAGTGCCTTGTTCCTCAGTGCCACCTCTAGTGAAGGCCTCTCCTTCTTCTGCATGAGGCCTAGTGTAAGGGATCTGCCATCTCTAGGCTACTGGCCAGAGTTTTTATAATAACCGTTTCTCATCCCATATAGATGCTTCCCAATCTCCAGGATCTGAAAGGATTCTATCTGGGAGACCTCCTCTCTTCTGGTTAATGTACCCACTTCCCTTCTTTGGTGATCATGTCAACGTGTCCAAGTCTCAGTTACCCTTTAAATTTTAGGGCACATCTCCAGTCACTAGCTTCTATGAAGCCTTCTTAGATTTCCTTGGACAGAAGCATTCCTCTGCACTTTCCTCTCACTATCTTCTTTGATTGTATTTTTGTTATGAACCCATGGCTGATTATAATCTCCTAAAGAAGAGTTATCTGTGAGCCTGAGAGTAGAACCTTAGACATGAAGGTGCTCAACAGGCTTTTAGTGAATTAATAGATCAGTGAAATGGGAGACACATTGCTTATTTTGCAACTGTGGGTTGGAACCTATTGGTGGGTTGTGAAGTCAACACAATGCATGATAATCATCAATCAACAAAAAAATAGAAATCATCAGAGTGCATCAAACATAGTAATAAGTATTATTTCATGAAGCTTTTCTTTTGTGTATGTGAATGTGCATATTGACAACTAGAAACACTACTCTAGAAGATATTGGAGACATAAAATTGTAGTGAAGATTAAGTTCTTCATAGTTTAATTTAGAAAAGGCTAACTATGTATTATCCTCAGTTGTTGATGTAGTGTTAAAAAGTGGCAGGGATGGAGGGTGAAATTTAATAGGGCACATATGTTAGGTTGGAGTTATCATATTTTTAAATTGCAGTGAGTGTAGTCCATTATAGCAATCTGATTCTGCATAAAGAAGCTGCAAATAGAAACTTGGACCATTTGGTTATCTATGCTGAACAACTTCTGACTTCCTGGTGGTTCTTTCCATCCCATTAACACTAAATGTAACTTGAGGACCTCTGACCACCCAGAGGGATTTCTCAGGCTCCATGGTCCTTTGGAGACTCATGGAGGATGGAAATGAGCTCAGGTTTCTGACCTGGAAGATATTTTTGACAGTGTACTTGTGATAAGAGCTCCAACCTAATTCTGAGAAAACAAAGTTCCTTAGAGAAGTGAGAATTTAAATCAAATTTTAATAGGAATTTAGGAGCTGGACCAATACTGTAGGGTTATGGTAGAGTACTAGGCAATACAGGATTAGGAATCAGAATCTCAAATTGTAACGTAACTCTATTCCTGGGTAAATCACTTCTCTAATCTTCATTCGTCAGAAAAATAAAAATAATCTTGTTTTTCCTACTTCTGGGGTTGTAAAGACTTGACGTATATTATTGATTGAATTGTGCCCCCCGCGCCAAAATAGATATGTTGAAGTCCTAAACTCTGGACCTGTACATATGACGCTGTTCGAAAATAGAGTGTTTGTTTTGCTATGTTAATAAAGTTGTACCAGAGTAGGGCGGGCTCTCAACTTAATCCCTTCTGGTTAGTGTTTTATAAAAAGAGCAGAACGGACACACACACACACACACACACAGGGAGGAGACAGACACTATGTGAAGGTTTCTCTATAAGCCAAGGAATGCCAAGGGACACCTGGAGCTAACACAAGGAAGGATGGCTCCCAGAGGTGATGCTTATCTGGACTTCCAGCCTCCCAAACTGTGAGGCAATAAATTTCTGTTCTTTAAAGCTACCCACTTGTGGTATTTATTATTATTATTATTTTTTGTTAGAACAGCACTAGGTAACTAAAACAGAATACCTTCAGGATATTACAAAAGCATCTGCTTTTGGGGACTTAAAATGAATTGAGTTATGAGGAACCAATTGTTTATTGATTGACATTGAGAAGCTTAATTCGTTGAGAAGATGAATGAACTACTTCTGTAAGGACTGGAGCAATTACTTGGTAATTTATACCTTTAATTAGAAGACTATCCTAGATGAATTCAAATCTAGTATATTGGATTCCTGGTAGCATAGTGGCTAAGACACTTGCCTGCTAACCAGACGGCTGGCGGTTCAAACCCACCAGCCACTCCTCGGAAGGAAGGTTGGGCAATCCTACTATCCGTAGTGATACTGCCTCGGAAACCCAAGGAGGGGTCGCTATGAATTGGGGCCAACTCGAGGGCACATAACAACAACAACAACATATTGGATTCCCAGGACATCAGTAATTTGATTTTACCACATTGATTATACCAGAGAACCATTATTTTTTTCTAAAAATGGTGTTTGGTAAGCAGTGGGTGGTGACAATCTCAAATAAATCATAATTAATGTTGAAAATTAAGCAGGGATAAAGCAAAGTGGCAAAACCAAATGGGAGGTACCCCCAAAAAACCAAACCTGCCACCATCAAGTTGATTCTGACACATAGTGGCACTTTAGGAAAGCAGAGCTGCCTCTAAAGGTTTCCAAGATTGTAAATCTACAGAAGCAGAGGGCCTCATCTTTCTCCCATGGAGTAGCTGGTGGGTTCAACCTGCCTACGTTTTGTGTGGTTATTTCCCTGGCTTAAAAATGGTACCCTTTTTGATGCATGTCTTCATTGTTTTCTGTGTCTTTTGAAGAGTCTTCCTCAATGCTGACACACTCTTCCCCCTGGAAATCAAGCAGAAATGGAAAAATGAAAACTCTGGACAAAACGGTCCCAGATCTTCTTTGCTCAGAATGCTGGCAAAGACTGTTCAAAATTTCTTTCAAATTATTATGAAAGAAGACTGCTTCTGTTACGTATTGCATAGACATATGTCCCTTTATAATCACAAAAATCCAGGATCACACTTATCTCTCCCTTTCCTTCCAAAGAAGTCATTGGTATTTTCCCCTTTTCTTTGAGAAACAGGCTCATATTTCTGCTTTCTGCTACTTTCTCTACTGCAATCTTTCCATCTCAGTTCTGTTTTCAAGCAAGTGCTAAATGAAGTTAATAGCAGGAGCCACATAAATCTCCCTTTATGCTCTGCCAGCACCAGTTTTGAAAGGATAAGATCAAAGCTGATTTTATTTTCTGTGTATACACAGCTTTGTCTGCAGATGTGACCACTAGCTCAGCACCTTCAAGGTCTGATAAACCTCCCCTGGGACAGAGAGTCCTTCTATCAATTGGGCTAAGGGAGAGTATTTCCCTTGCTCTGCTAGCTGTAGATCTAATTACCTGGATCAATTATATACTTGAATCATCTTTATGGGCAATCTTTCTAGGCAGTTTGAGCTCTCAAGTATCTGTGACTCTTCCTGTTCCCAGGGAGACATAGAGGGTCTCCTATTGTCTTCAATTTTGGAATAATATTTCAAATAATCATTCCAGACATTGTGAACAATGATGGGGGAGGCTGGGGAGGAAGTATACATATGGTTAGTGTTTTGAACATGCTCTAAGAGGCATGACACTCAGCTTTTATTTTCTGGCAGATCCACTGTGCCTTTCGACTCTGTTTACTTAACACAGAAGTCAATCCTTGGCATGTCTTGGAGTTCAAAGGATCTCAAAGTTTATTTAGTCTAATGATGCCAAACTCCATTATACTTCTGCAGCACCTACCACCTACCTTCGTTTTCTGAGCTGAACCCCAGGAACAAGGACAATGAGAGGATAATTGGAAGAGAGCTGGAGCTGTGGTGTCAGTGCCTAAGGCACTTGACTGCTAACCAGAAGGCTGGCAGTTCAAACCCACCAGTCACTCCTGGGAAGGAAGGTTAGGCAATCTACTTCCGTAGTGATACCGCCTTGGAAACCCAAGGAGGGGTCGCTATGAGTTGGATTGGACTCCACGGAAGTGCATGAGTGCGTAGTTCCAGGGGTGGAGATGCATGTTACTCATTTTTTTTTTTTTTTTTTTTTCATCTAACACCTAGCTTTGCTAGTAGTTTGGTAAATACTCACATTAAAGGATCATCATTGTTTCCTTATAGTGAAATTGCTCCAAATAACCTGTCCATTTATGGAATGTCCAGCATGACTATTGTTTTGTTTTGTTTTCTTTTTTTTGCTGAGCAATATTTAGTGACATGAACACATTTTATAATAAATTAATTGAAATAGAAAGTTACCAAATAATGTGCATAGTATGATTCCCAGTACACGTAATACACATGTGGGTGTATATTTGCATAAAAATATGGGAAGGCTATATATTCCAAGATGTTGAGTGCTGATTTATTTTTTTTCTGGAATTATAGGTTGTTTGCTATTTTCCAAATTTTGATATGTTAATTGTCCAAATTTTCTGCATGTTATTCTTTTATAATAAGAAAACTTCCCATAATAAATGACACAAACTACCCACAATGAATGGCACAATAAAAAGCACTCAGAATTCCTTGGTAAACGATTAGCTGCGTGGATAATCTGCTCACTTTTTAGCAGAAGTCTTTCTTCAATCAAATCCTACCCATAACTTTAATATATAAAAGAGGAAAAAGTGGCAGTGTGAGAGTGGGGATAAGGCAGGGAACAATGTCCCCTCAGCCCTGCTGTTTCCTTAGATGCCACGAAGGAGCCCTAGAGAATCTAGACAGTTAGGGAACACAGTTTTAGAGGCACATCTTAGAGCCTTCCTCTTGTCAGACACTTTTACCCTAAAATTCATCTTTTGTTTAAGCCAGTGCTTTTTGCCTTGTGACAAGCTTGGAATCTGTCACTACCAACTGCCAGAGAGAACCTTCCCATAAGGGAAGTTTGAGGACAGATGTAGAAAACCCAAATCTCTTTGTTTGGGCTTGTGTGTTTTCTTCACTACTCTGCTTTACAAACTCTAATTGCCATTGAATTCATTGCTCTGTGTGCCAGCTGAGAGCGTGCTTTTTGTTCCTGCTCTTTTCAGGTGGCTGCTGCACAGCCGTTTCTATGGGTTACAGCCTTACTCAAAGCAGTACAGTCATACCTGTTTGGTGTTGACACGCTCTCCCTTTTGCACAACTCTATTCCGTGAGGAGTCATTTCCTGATGTTTTTTGGTTTGCAAGAATGTTTTCTTCATTCTAAGGAAAAAAGAACAAATTACAAAAATAAAATGTCAGAGCAAAGAAAACAAAAAAAAAAAATTCTTTTGATTTTCAAAAAATAATCTTTCAATGCATGATATACAGAAGACTTTAGAGGGACAGGACAAGCAAAGCTTAGATGTTCCTGAGTCATCTGATTCAAGTCATAACTAATGACTCTAATGAAGAAACAGACGAGTTTTGTTTTGTTCTGGTAGAAAAGACTGTGTGGTACAACTTGAGGACAATTGCTCTCATCTGCTGTTGTTATGTGTCGTCGAGTCAGACCCGACTCATAGCAATCCCTCCTTGGGTTTCCGAGGCAGTATCACTACGGAAGTAGATTGCCCCATCTTCCTTCCAAGGAGTGGCTGGTGGGCTTGAACCACCAGCCGCCTTCTGGTTAGCAGTCAAGTGCCTTAGGCATTATGCTACCAGAGCTCCATCTAAAGGTTGCTATGCGTCAGAATAGACTGAACAGTAACAGATTTTTTTTTTTTTTTAGGTCATGTAATAACAATTGTGAGGATGGCACAAGACCAGGAAATGCTTCATTCTGTTGTACATAAGGTCACTATGAGTTGGATGTGTCTTGACTCACAACTAACAACAACAACAGGCATGTAACTTTTTAGTAAATAGAGCTGGGACTAAATGCAGATGTCTGGTCTCCTTTCTACCACATCACACAGGTTTTCAACTAATAAAATTCAACCTATATAGCAAAATATATCAAACCACAGGCTGGATAATTTTATTCTTAGATGTTGGATTTATGACATGTTAAAATGTATTTCTTGGATTCAAAAGAAGCTCTGGTAGTAATGAGAAGATTCTTCTTCTTTTATTATTATTATTATTATTATTATTATTTCAGCATTCCCTTCCCTCTCCTCCCACCCTTGGTAACTAGCAAAAAAGTTTCCTTCATATATAAACCTTTCCTTGACTTTTCACATTAATGAACTAATACTATATTTGTCCTGTGATTGACTTTTTTCACTCAGCACAATGTCCTTCAAGTTCATCCACATTATGTGGTGTTTTTTGCAGATTCTACATTATTCTTCAGTGTTGCATAGTATTCCATTGTGTGTATGCACATAGTTTGGTTATCCATTCTTCTGTTGATGGGCATCTAGATCGTTTCCACCTTTTTGATTTTGTAAATAGTGCTGCAATGAACATGGGTGTGCATGTATCTGTTCTTGCCCTGGCTCTCATTTCTTTAGGCTATATACCTAATAATAGGATTACTGGATCAAATGGTATCTCTAATTCCAACTTTTTAAGGAATTACCATACTGCTTTCCACAGTGGTTGTGTCATTTAATAGTCCCACCAGCAGTATATGAGCATCCCAATCTCTCCACATCCTCACCAGCATTTGTTATTTTCTGTCTTGTTGAACTTTGCTACTAGTGCTGGGGCCAGATGGTATCTTATTGTTGTTTTGATTTGCATTGCTCGAATGGCTGATGATCGTGAACATTTCTTCATGTGTTTGTTGGCCACCTGAATATCCTCTTTGGTGAAGTGTCTATTCATGTCTTCTGCCCAACTTTTAATTGGATTATTTGTCTTTTTGTTGTTAAGGTGTTGTTGTTTTCTACAAATTTTAGAGATAAGTCCCTTGTCAGATATGTTATTGCCAAATATTTTTTCCCAATCTGTAGGTTCTCTTTTTACTCTTTTGGAGATGTATTTTGAAGCACACAAAAATTTAATTTTTAGAAGGTCCTATTCGTCTAGTTTATCTTCTGCTTTTTGTGCATTTTGGGTTATGCTTGGCAGTCTATTTATGCCATAAGTTAGGGCCCCTAAATTTGCCCCTATGTTTTCCTTGAGGAACTTTATTGTTTCACATTTAAGTCTGATCAATCTGGAGTTAGTTTTTATGTGTGGTGTGAGGTACAGATCTTGCTTCATTTTTCTGCAAATGGATATCAGTTTTGGCAGCACTATTTATTAAAGGGATATATAATGGATTTTAGCCCTTAGTCAAAAATCAGCTGACCATAGATTGATGGATCTATTTCTGGGTTCTTAATTCTGTTCCACTGGTCTATGTGTCTGTCATTGTACCAGCACCAGGCTGTTTTGGTAAGTTTTGACATCAGGAAATGTGAGACCTCCCAGAGGAGAAAGATTCTTCTTTTGTAATGCCATCTTAGATTTACTTTAAGGAGGTTAGTAAGGTTTCCTCCTGGAGGAGTTTCCTGAGCCCCTTGCTGCTGTTTCCAGATGTGATGAACACTGGGCTTGTTTCTCTTTTATCTTTCTTGGGTCCTAATTTTTCTCCCATGTCATTCCAAGTTGCCTTTTTCAACGTACTAAAGCTACCATCTTTCTGTCAGTGGCAGCTTGCAAATAGCTATGATGTTGAACAGGTTTCAGTGGAGCTTCCAGACTAAGATGGGCCGGGAAGAAAAGCCTGGCGAGCCCTTCTGAAAATCAGCCCATGAAAACCCTGTGGCTCACAATAGTCAGATCTGCAGCCAATCATGGGGATGGAACAGGACTGGGCATTATTGGGCATGGAGTTGGCATGAGTTGGGAGCCAACTTGACAGCAGGTAATAACAACAACAACAACAAAGTCCAAGTAAGACAACTGATAAATGGTGTTAGGGAGGTCTCTATACCTTTTTAGGAAATGCCCCTGTTAGCCCTATCATATGCGAGATTATCTGTCTTTAATGAACCACAGTGATTTTAATATTGTACTGGTGATGATACAGTGCCAAGCAACATAGTACCTTTAGGTACTTGGTGTAAAAAAACAGTGTGTATGAAGTACACGCACACACACACACACACACATATACATACTATGCAAGCACAAGCTAAGCACACTGCTATCAAGTTGGATCTGACTCATAGCGACCCCTCCTTGGGTTTCTGAGGCGGTATCCCTATGGAAGTAGATTGCCCAACCTTTCTTCCAAGGAGTGGCTGGTGGGTTTGAACTGCTAGCCTTCTGGTTAGAAGTGAAATCCTTAGGCACTATTCCACCGGAGCTCCCCTACATACTATGGGAAGATGGAAATATTTTGTTAATTGCTAAAGCTGGTTGATGGGTACTTAGGGATTCACTATACTATCTTACTTTTTGAGATGCTGAAATTTTCCTCGATATAAAGTGAAAGCTAAAATTTAGCATGAGTTGGTAGAAAATCAGCACACAGAGGGGTAGGAGGACTAGTCCTTAGAGCCCCTAGTAACATGTGTGATGCTAGGCAGGTCACATCTTTCTAAGATCCAGTCCTTGCATCTATAAAATGAAGTTTCAGAGATTTGGTGTTTTTATGGTCCTTTCCAGAGCCCTGACTAATCTAACCAGTTTCCATTACAAACTTTAGCTTCTTGATGCTGATTATTCCTGCCACCTGGTGGCAGGACTGGAAGCTTACTTGTGAAACACAGGGACAAGTTCTTTTTTTTCAAAGTTAATTGAAGAGGAAGAGGTGTGTGTGTGTGTATTTGGGGGGGCGGATGAGAGTGAAGCACTTCTTTGAATTGCAGCAAGAATACCTATGGATGTATTCTATATTGTGTAATGGATTGTTTTACCCTCACCATTTCAAGAATGGTGTCTCCCAGTGGACATTTCCAACAGAAATAATTAGGGGTGTGTGTGTGTGTGTGTGTGTGTTTGGTGCCTGAAAATGACCTTGAAGATATTTGTTTCTCTTCTTTGCAAATTGGAGTGGTTAGTCTGTAACAGAGGGCCCATTATTACTTGTCAGCCCATTGTTCTTTCCATCTATTTAGCAATTCATATTACTAAATACCTTTGTACACCTAACTCCTACCATGACTATGTTCTGATTGCAAAACCTGTTGCTCTATGGAATGAATAAGAATGTTGTGCATCAGTACCTCTAAGCTGTTTACAGCACACACCACTTTTAACTTCTCTAGTTAGGGTTAGTGCTAGATGTACTAAAGGGTGTTCATCCCAGATGGAGCCCCTTTGAGGGTGGATCCTTGTAACCAGTGCTCTGACTGTACGACTGGCCTCACAGAGAGGACATGGCTGGCCTTTAGGCTGGGAGCAAGGATGGAAGCTTTCATCAGTGAGAGGACTTTCAACTTGACCTTTGTAGGAAGGAGATCATGTAGGTTTGTGAAAGACGAGAATTGTCCAGCAGTATAATGCACTGTTGACAGGACCCTGAGGAGTTGTTCAACTGGTCTGGAGTCTGACACTTTGTAGAGAATTCTGCGAGGTGCTAACACCTGGTTGAAAGGGTAGCATTTGTAATATACACTTGGCTTTACACTACATACACTACCAAAACAAGTGCAGACTGGTGATCAAAGTTGCGTTTTTTATTTCTATTCTATTGCTCTATTATCGATTGTTCATTGATTGTCTGTCAATCATCTATCAATATCCATCAGTCATCTACCATTTCTACATCTCTTAGACCTTTAAAATAATCCTCCTGAAAGCAGTTAATGTGGTGCTTTCTGAGAAGGTGTGATGCCTTAAGTGCTGTCCAGTCCCAATGCTTAGGTAGAAATGGGAATATGATGTCAGCTGAGTTAGAGACTGTAAATCTGTGCAAACCTAAATTTTACCCAGTAGTACACTATTCCTGTTCTCTGCTGAATACCACGTACACAGCACCGTGCTAGGCACAGAAATACTCAATAACTGTTTAAATGAGTTTAAAAGAGCCACTCTAGCAGAAGGAAGACCAAGTAATCTACTTCCATGAAGATTTACTGCCTCAGAAACCCAGTGGGGGTTGCTATGAGTTGGAACTGATTTGATGGTGGTGGGTTTGGCTTTTTAGGGTTTAAGAGACTGTTGAGCTGATTATGTTGTTGTGAGCCATCTTTGAGTTGGCCCCCGACTCCTAGTACCACCTCATGTACAATAGAACAAAATGTTGTTCAGTCTTGCACCATTCCCATGATGAGTTGTGGATGAGACTGTTATAACCCCTAGGGTTTTGTGTTATGAGATCCCTAAATACAGAGGCATTT